ACACACCAACCACCGCGTCACACCCAGATCGTAAGCAGTGTTGCCCATCGCCGAAAGGTTGTACGCTGGATGAACGAGCACGAGGTCATCCACGGGGAGAAAGGGATGTTTTCTAAAGCTGTGGACCAATTTCCTGCTCTATTCAACTCTGCTACGCGCGCAGCCAACTTAGCTAAGGCTGTAGATTGGTAGAAAAGGAGGGACCGCCTGCTTGAGACGGAGCGATGCGTTGTCTCGATTTCGGCGCGTCGGTCCGGAGGAAGGCGTCGTGTTAGTACGAAGGTCTTGGCAGGGCGCGGCAGACCACGAAGCGCGTGGGTCGAGTGGCTGTACCTCTTGCTTCTTGACGAATTTGACAGACTTCGGAAACTTGGAGTGAAGTTTGAGCCGGCCCTATTGGTGCAACTGGCCAAACAGATCCTTTGGGACAGCCACGACGTCTTTAATTCCAGAAGCGTCGACGCTAACGGTGCTCTGATAATTGACAAGATCTCGACTCGCTGGGTTCAAACTTTTATGGAGGCGCACAAGATTGTTATCAGGACACAAACCGGGAAGAAACAGGTTAGTCAGGCAAAGATTTTACGCATCGAGAAAGATGTGGCATTTCACCTTGGGGAATTGAAGCGAGGTTTTGAGGACGGATCGCTTGATGAAAACGCAATCGAGAACATTGATGAAACTCACTTTGTCGTTGATTTTGACAATGGCAAAACGCTTGGGTTTTCTGGCGACCAGACTGTCAAGTACGCCGACGTTGTTTCAGGAGGCGAAGGCATGACGATGGTCGTCAGACTGCCAGGAGGACCTAGCGCCCGGGTTCACACCCCCATGATGATTTTTACGAATTCTAAGGGAAACCATCCTATTCATGGTGTTCCTGATCAAACGCCAGGTGTGTGCTACCGTTCCAGTAGGAAGGGGTGGATGACACAAACTATTTCGAGAGTATCTCAAGGAAAGACGAGCTATGCGTGCAGACCCTCGTGGGCGGAAGAAGACTATTTATACAATTGTTCGGGTCATCTTGAAGCGGACGAGTGCTCCTCTGAGCTCGAAGCTATACACTCGGATCTCAAGTTCTTTCCACCCAACGCTACGGATCTCTGTCAACCAGCGGACTCCTTTGTAATTTCCCAGATTAAGGACGCTTGGAAAGCCAAATGGAACGAGAAAAAAATTGGAGTTTATCAGGAATAACCGCTGGCAAAACAAGATCCGAAAGGATGGTTCGTGGTCCGGAAAGCTTCAAAACCCAGGTAAAAGGTTCTTTCTGCAACTTGCTGCTGATGCTGTCAAAGCCGTAAACCTTCAAAAAGACAAGAAGGGTATGTCTTACGCGCGGAAGGCAATGATACGGTGCGGTTTGTCGCTCGGAATTGACGGGACATGGTCTATTGATCAGCTTTACCCTCATTTTCGAGAAATTGTAAGCAAACACCGCGCGCACTTTGATGGCGAGGTCGTAGTCAACAATTCTGAAACATAAATCATAACATGTAGTACAAGTATTACAATTCGTGACTTTGGCTCAGTCGTTTGTGTCTTGTATCTCCAAGGCGTTTATCGACGGTTCGAGTACCCTCAAAAGCATTTTCACTTTTGTGTGTCAGACTATTTTTGAATTCATAAATAGTCTTAGTCAATAAATAGTCTGAGTCAGACTATGTACAGTTAACAGACTTGAAACCATAAACACAAAATAGTCTCGGTTAGACTAATTACCGTAGACAGTGTAGTGTCGTCCGTTACCACGTGATTGCAACTCCAACAACCGTCGCATTAAAAAGCTTACGTACGCTTCGAAGTACTAAACAGCAGATCCCGTTAGCAATCACGACCACACCGGACAAT